CTTCACACACCATTGCACACACTGGATCACCTCAATCACTCTCGAGCATCAGCACGCTTCCAGGTTCCGCATGGCCATCGAGGGATGCTGATTTTTTACGCAGAGGCCACCGACGATCATTTAAAGGGAGGGGGGGGGTCATAAACACTGGGATGCTTTTGCTTGAATGTTGCAATATTCATAGCTGATGCCTGAGGTGTGCGCTGAGCAAACGACTCAGATGGCTGATCATGCGTGATGCGTGTGATGCCCACATGCAGGCACACACACTGCAAACAACATACCCTCCCATGCACACATGTCAAAACTCTTACCTCAGGCCCGTGCAAACACATCCCACACTGCCTCACACACAGTTATGTAATCTAAGGAGCAACCTTGACATTTCGTCAGTGGAGAATATCTGTCCACACCCCTGGTGTCAGAGGTTAACTCTACAAAACACAGTTCATATGAAGGGAACAATAAGTAACATGTTGGGTGCCAACTGAAACCTTTTTAGTGTGGGACAGACTCGCTGCTGCATTTGAATCTGATTTATTTTATTTTTTTCCCATGTGGGCATAAAAGAGGAGGAGGTCTTTTTATTATTTTTTTAAAAGAATTTTCACCCTCAAAGTGCTTCTAACCTTAAGCCTCATCCCCAGACCCTGTCCTGGGATCTGTCCCTCTGCAACCACTTAGGCCCCAGGGCTGAAAGCAGTTGTAAATTCACCACAACTACTGCCTGACCATAGATCTCTAACGGATGTATCGGGAGTTTTATTAATTACATTAAAAACAACAAGAGGCTTAAAAGATTATTCTGGAATGATATCATACAGGCGAGTGCAAATCTCTTATCTCCAAAGGCAGGCAATGGGAGCCAAAGTAAGCCCCCCCCCCCTTGGTCACTAATGGCTTGCCTTTTTATTTTATTTTTTTTTCATTTAATCAAGTTGGCTTGACCCACACAATGACTGTCATGTGGAGGTATTTGACAGAAGGCGTTTCTCGTGAATTTTGACCGCCAGCAGCTGTTGTGGGTGATGGTGGGATTTCAAGGTGACATGCATGAGAAGTGTATGATGTGAGAGAACCAGAAATCTTCCCCCCCCCCCAACCCATGAGACCCAAAGCTCGCCATAATCAGATCTGCCTAATTGAATAGCTGTGGCCTTCTCATCTTTCAGCCATCAGAATGGGAACAAGCGTTTGCCATGTCACAGTACAACCTGTGCCCTGTTTGCCACATGTTTGATTGATAGCAGTGTGGGGGGAGTGTTGACATGCTGAACGGTCCAGATGGATGGGATTTGATGTACTACTCCAGGGTTACATCTCCATAAAGAGGGGTGGGGCGCAACATGCTGTTGTGCATGCTGAGTGTGTGTGTGTGTGTGTTTGTGTGTAAAATGGAGCTCCACATGGGGGAGTAGAACAGGTGTTTTTTTTGTTTTTTTGAGAAGCAGGGCAGGGCTCAGCACACAGGTAGCTGCAGCAGGCTGACTGTGATGGCCGGGGGCTGTCGATGTTTTTGGCAACAGGAAGGTGAATAATCATATAGGGAGAGCACAGCCTTGGACCTTGGTCCATCTCCCCGCTGAGCTGATGGAACAGATGTGGAGGATGACATTACCACTGTGCTATTGTTGCTAGCACACTCTTGTCTCCCTCTGCTGCTCAATAGTCTGATAGAGGTGTAATTGCAGCCCTTTATTCTTTTATCCTGTTTGAGCTAAGTTCTTTGTTTCTGCTTGAAAGTAGCAAGTGTATTTAGTGTCTCTTTTCTTTGCACTGTAGTTATCAGAATTTCAGGTTGTTGTGGGTGCTATTTGTATACCAAACAGTAGCTGCGTTTCCACCCAAAGTAACAAAGTAACTTTTAGTCCTGGAAACTATTTTTCAAGGTTCTTTCAGCCTGTTATCAGCTTTTCCACCGCAGTCTTAAGAAGATTAGGCAAGTTAGTCTGCTGACCTCAAATGTTTTTATGCACCATTTTTGCGCGTGTCAGCCCATCTGTCATGTGCTTTCTTCTGTACTTGCATGTTGATGTGTTGAAGCACCAAAATCAGAAATGGTCATCACTGCAAACCCAACACCCAAAGTTCCTGTAGTGCTACCACCCAGCAGGAACTTTTTGGGGGATATAATGTTCCTGGGACTTAATTTAGACCGTGCGTGGGTCCAAAGGTTTCTAGTTCCTGGGAAACGAAGATAGTGTAACACGTGTAAGATGTGTGTATCTATAAAGTAACTTTAAATCACAAGGAATGTAAATGTCCACCAATTCTGAGCAATTAAAGAAAATATTTGTTTCATTTGGTCCATAAAACAGTAAATTGTGAAAAATGTCCATTATCATTAGAGAACACTAAGAAAACAGACTCACTTTTATGAGGCTAGAAATAAAGAACTACATACTATTTGGCATTTTCACAATTAATAATAATCAATTAATTGTTGCATCTACTATACCAGTAAAACTAACTGCTGACAAACTAACAGGGGTTTGATTGGGGTAATCAAAATCTTACCAAAACACTGTGGTCACTGAACATGAAGAATAAGACAATTAATTAAAGTGAGTCATGTCCAAAAGAGACTGCAGCCCTTCTCTTACCCCCAGCCTGCCTAGAAGTCCGTAAGAATCACATGTTTATTTTTCTACCTATCAGATGCTCAGCAGGCAGACCGCAGTACAACGAACAGCCCGTCATCACGCACATGATTGTTTTAGTTTTCGACCAGATTTCATAGTTATGGTCAAGTGATTGTACAAACAGCCTGGAGAAATTGCATTTAGAAGCACTGTCATGCATAATGTTCCAAAACTAAAATAATCCACTATGTCCAAAGCCTTTTTTGTTGTGTAAATGTGAAAGATCAGCTCATGTGCCCCCTGCAGAGTATGACAGAAGTGATCATCTCCTGGCATGCTGCACCACATGCTTGTTGTGTTTTGCAAATTGGCATCCATGTTCTTCCCCTGGCATTAAATTGGACAGTGTTTTTATTGTGAGCATTGCTAGAGTGAAACTGGGTTGTTTAGTGAGGAGGAACAGGTTGGAGTGATGACTGGAGGGTTTGGTCTTTTGGATTGGAGAGCTGTGGGAAGCAGCTGCAGTCGCCTTGTGTACAGTCTGTTTGTCCAGCGCCTGCTGATCATCAGGCTGTCTAACTATACTGGATTGAAAGCCTATCTAATGAAGACTTTAGTGTCAGTACCTCAAGAACACTATTTGATCCAGGTAGATTACTTCAGAAGTGTGTTACCGGTGGAGGTGGGAGAGAACCAAACAGCAACAGGGCCTAAAACTATGTATTTTAATCTGCGATGTGGGAAAGCTCTTGGGTTCTTTTTATTTTTCACACACAATATTTTGTAGTTGGACTGATACTGCCCTCAAGCAAACAAAAAAAATATTATTGCCATAAAGGTCCAGTGTGTAACATTAAGGAGGATCTATTTGCAGAAATGGAATATAATACTCATAAGTATGTTTTCATTGGTGTTTAATCACCTGAAAATAAGAATTGTTGCGTTTTCGTTGCCTTAGAATGAGACACTTTTATCTACAGAGGGAACAGGTCCTCTTCCACAGTGTCCACCATGTTGAAACCGCCAAGTTTTTACAGTTGACGCAGAGTTTCTGTTACAACTTCACCCACTTCCAAGGTGCATGGAAAGGGGGGGGGGAAAGTCTGAAGAGGTCAAAACTTAGTAGTATATAGAACAACTTTATTGTGAGACTAAAGCGTCTATATACAAGTGTTGATGCAGTTTTGACCTCTTCAGATGTTTCTACAGTAGCCCAGAATGGACCAACCAAACTCTGGCTCTAGATAGGGCCTTTTACATTTTTTGCGGCCACTGTAGTTTCTCCTAGACACTTGGAAGGCTGAGCTGTATTCAGAAGGTTGCAAGCATCAACTTCGCTGCTAGATGCCAGTAAATCCTATACACTGGTCCTTTTTTGAATATACATATTTATGATATGTATGTATGATAATAGCTGTATATTTATTGGTTTAGCTCTACTATATTCTATATAACATTTGAGCGCTATGATCAGTAAAATGTTCCTAGATTGTTTTTAGGTCAGTGTTCTTCAATTTGTTACATTTAAAGTAGCAGTTGTCCTTTCTCTCAACCGTTGCTTCCTCAAAGTAATTGCCAGAAGGGGAATTAGCCTCCTGAGTGGCCACACGGAGACAGTCACATGGTCAGGGAGAGATTTACATACACTGAGATCTTCTGCTGTATAGAAAATCTTTCCCAGGCATTGTGTAAGCTACAGCTAAAATCCAGTCTGTTGATGAACAACTCGTATATGAATCAGACACAGACGGTCTTCAGTGTATTCCCTAGTGATCTGCTCATAACCATGTATCCACTGATACTCTTAATCATTCTGCCCAAGTTGCTCAGTTCAACATTTTATTTTGCATTTGTATGGTGACATTTTACAAAAAACTCAAGTTTAAAGCGCTGCTCAGCTCGCTGCCATGACTTTACATAATAGATTTGGGACTGCAGTTTTTTTTTTTTATGTCCTCATTACAGAGGCTTAAGAGCAGTTTAATGAAAAATGAAACTTTGTATGCTCCTCCTCCCACTCTCCCTGCCCAAAACATAATGGCACAGCAGCTGCATGTTGATGAGTTATTTTTGCCGCCAGATGAAAACGTCATATCTACATAAGCGCAAAAACTTTTAAGGGATTAAAGGAAATCGACCTTGTTTGGATTAATGGCCGTGATCATGGATGTTTCGGCTCGTGAAACATACTCTTACAATAGCGGCCATGTTGGTTTTGATTGCTATTTTAAAAATATGCAAAATGGAGTTTTAGGGGTCCCCTGGATCGAAAGAAAACGCTTGTAGAATCATTCGAGGAGATCTATTAACCTCCAACAGTATACTTGGATGCTTAACTACTTACTAGTTACTACTAAGCTTAGATTTATATTTCTGTTTAATGTATGGTAAGTAAAGCTGTTTTATCTTCTGTTGCAGGCCACGGGATGTTGGTGGAGGGACATCCGGACGCTGAACACTGGGGAAGACGACTAATGGCTTCAGTACCAGACAATGAAACGGAGCAGAAGAACTGTTCAGCGCCAGGTATGCTGCTCTGAGATTATGGCTGCACTAAACAACTTTTGTTTTTATTAACAAGGGATTAAATGACTGTAATGTGAAAGAGGTTGCTCGCAGGGAATTATCACCCAACTCTGCAGTTTTCCTCAGCTCCACAGAGCATTTGGCGTCTTTCTGTCTGTTGTTGTTGTTTGCTTTCACAACGGAACTTTTTTTTTCATTGTAACCACTATCATCAATCACCTCTCCAGGCAGTTTCTTTTCAGCTAAAAACACCCTGGGAAAAACCCCACTATCTGCACAGCACTGAATAGCAGACAAAGTTACTGACTAGCTGATGAACATAGTGGAGCATTCAGAGCCAGATATTCAGATACAACAAAACAAGCTTAATAAATATAAATAAATGGATACTGGAATGTCTGGAACT